TCTTTTTTCCTTAAGTGTTCTCACACTCGAAATCACATTACCATGTTGTAGTATATGGAGGTATGGCAAATATTCCCACAAATGACATCGTCTGAGGTATCATATACACACACAGTATCAAAATTCAATCCAGAGTAAAGAGGGAAATTCAGCTTTAAATGTTGCTATCCTTCTGAATATGGCTCTGCTTAATGGTTAGCTCTAACTTTCAAAAGGCTGTATCCACGCCTTCCCGCTGACTTTTAACAAGTCACCACGTAGTTCCCATATGCTATTCAGATCATTTATTTGGTGATATCTAGAAAACAGAGTAAATTCCTTTTGAAATCATTGTCCTAGTCGACATGAAAGGTGGTAGCATGCCCTAAAGCTACTCGTATTTTTCTATACATGCCTGTCTATGTCACATTCTAGCTCTGCAATTCTTAGAACACCAATACTAAAGCTACTCGTATTTTTCTATACATGACACATTCTAGCTCTGCAATTCTTAGAACACCAATTGGCATCTGAAATCTCTGTGTAGGTGGTCAGTGGATAGTTTCCAGTTTTACTTCATTCCTTTTTACAGCTTTTCATTCCTATCCGTAGACTGGGAGAAAAACTAACCCTATCCCAAAGGTTCAGTTAGGTATCGTGAGATGCAAACATGCATTTGGGGGGCTATTACCTCACTTGAGGTGTTTTCACTCTCGTTGGCTATGACTGACGACATTATGCTTGATGACAGAGAGACAGGGAGCATATCTGAGGCTCATCTAAGTAAACCGATGTAGGCTGTTTGCATTTGCTCATAGCCTCTCTGGTTTTCATTTATTACCTACATTTTTTCCCCATTCTGCAGCTGAAACCTGATGAAAGGATCATCAAAACAGAATACGGGCTACTGATTCGGAGTCTGCAGAAGAAGGACTCTGGGATGTATTACTGCAAAGCACAAGAGCACACTTTTATCCACACCGTCGTGAGGCTGACTCTGAACGTCATTGAGAACGAGCAGATGGAGAACACCCAGAGGGCAGAGCACGAGGAGGGGCAGGTCAAGGATCTGCTGGCCGAGTCACGGCTGAGATACAAAGACTACATCCAAATCCTTAGCAGCCCGAACTTCAGCCTGGACCAGTACTGCGAACAGATGTGGCACCGAGAGAAGCGGAGGCAGCGCAACAAGGGCGTCCCCAAGTGGAAGCACATGCAGGAGATGAAGAAGAAACGGAACCGAAGGCATCACGGAGAGGAGCTTCCGAGAGCGGTGGCCACGTAGTTTCCTATTTAATTTAAAGAAAAGAATCCTTTACCCGCAAAAATACTGTCTCCTGTTTGTACATCCTTGATTCTAACTCCTGCGAGTTTTCCATGGTGTTTTGTTCAGGCACGAGAAGAACAATCCGAGCAAGACAATGTGTGGTGGATATGGCAGAGGCAGGGCGAGTAAGGCATCTGAACCAGTTTTCCAAGAACTAAACTTGCACCTGCAATGCGTCAGAGTTATCTTCAAAATAGGGACTTCACATCTGTAAATGTTTTGTGTGCTGAGCTTTTGAATTGATGATGTCATGTAAATAAGTGAGCTAAGCAAGCAGCACCGTTGGTAATGTACTGAGGTGCTTCGTGTCCCTTGCGTGGCCATTAAGCATGGGGGTGACCAGGCTGTTGTGCTTGGTGTTCTTATGAACAAATCTATCATTCCATTCTCGAACTGGCTTCTTTCTGGTAAGAAGTGGAGGGAAGACACACATTCAGACCACGCATATAACAGCAGGAACTTTCCCAATGAGCCACTCACTCTTGGTGCGTGGTTGAGGAGTTTGGAGAGATGCATTATTTTTTATCAGACCACAGGGATTATTTAGTGTACTACAGCCTTGATTTACTGAAGGCTATAAGTGTTCCTCCAGGATTGCGTATGACTTACCAGGAGAAACAGGTTCATAGAGCGACATTGGTGCTCAGTTATGTGTTTTTAGATTAAATGCTGAGCTTTGCAGGGACAGAATGCTTAATAAATATTTAAGTAAGATATGGGAAAACATTTAAATTAAGTAAGGGGAACATCATGAGGTACACTGCATCCTAATGGAAGGCATGCAGATGGGATTTGTTAAGAGACAGGAGGAAAGACAGCTATAAATTCTGGCTTTGGGGAAAACTCATAGCCCCATAAAAAGGAAGAACAGTCACAAATAAAGTGGGTGAAATGCAATGTCGTTTTATTCACCAGAGTATAAGTAGCTGCCAATTTATAATACATCTGCTAAAAAATTCTAGATTATATTTTAAAAAAGCCGGCTAGCAAAAGGCTGAGGAAAAGTAAATTTTCTAAAGGATCATGGAAAGAACGAGCACAAATTTATTTACAACCAAGGGGATTTCAGTACGTTTTCTAAAAATTCATCATAATCTATAAATTATTTTCATTTACTGCCCTTAGCCTCTTGAATATTGGATTGTGGGACTTTATTTGAGTGAATAGAAAAGAACAATATATACATACATAGCAAAAGAATTAGGTAGACAATAGTGGTGGGGAGCGGGAAGATATATTGTTAAGTAACAGAACAAATGCAAAACTTTTGACAACGGAAAGGGTTAAATTAACTCTTTGACATCTTTTTTTTTTGACAAATCTTTTTGCATTTCTGAGATTATATGCTGTTATTCAAGTAGCATTGTTTTAGTAATTTAATAATAAATAAGCCTACCGCCTGTAACGAAAACAAACTCACAACATAAACGTTCTTCGTATTTTGTTAGCACTTTCAAGTACTGCCAGTTTGACTTTACCTCTGAACTTGCATGGTATGTTTTCTGCCCATTTACGCAGGACTCACCTTTCTTTCTTCAACACAAAACCCTTGGCCTTCTTCTGTTTTGCCTTTTCATGCCCTTTTTAGTGTGAAATGAAAAATTAGTCACTTCCTCAAATGGAAGGCAGCCTTTCAGAAAACTAAATAGCAGGCATTGCTAGTTTCTCATGCATTCTATGTGTCTTGAAAGAGAAGCCTGTGGGAACCCGTGTGATTAGAGGGCAACTTATTACCATGTTCAGTATCATGTCTGTGACTGGCTTTATGTTCAAAGCATTCTATCTTACATTCATTTTATTTGCATCTCTTACCTTTCAAAGTAGTCACTCTGATGTATGAGGTTAAGTACCCCTTTTGATATGAAACTCAAATATTTATAGATGTTTCTGTATAAGAAAAACTTAAGGATTTAAAACTTTGGTTTGAAAAACAGCAAACCAGAACAAATCACTCTTAAAAATTAATGCATAAGAATAGTTGTAGTAGGATCAGAGTGCTAATTAAATACCATAACAAGAGTGTGTGTAACTATTGATTTGCTAGGCTAAAATGTTCCAGGAATTCATAGTGAGCTCCAAGCAAATAAAGTGGGAGTATGTTTTATTTTTTAAAGATTTCCACATATTTGTATGTCAGACAGTAATGATCAAATTATGGATGACTTTGAGAAAATTACATGAAGCTCAAATGTTAGGATTGACTTGTGAAAATAAATTTGGTTTTCATCCAAATCTGAATGTCTAAGCCATTTTTTAATTACTTCTTTCTTATCATAGTTATTCAGACAAAATTTTGAAAACCTATTTTGATTTACAGCTAATACTCTGGCTACTTTGGATATAAAACTATTAATTTATGATAAACTCTTAAAATACATTTGAAATATTGTTAGTAAAATAAAATGTCATATAATTAAAACATATGGACAAAGATTTATGTGTATTTATAAAGATAGAGGACACCTAAACTACATTTAATTTTTTAACCTTTCGATTGCTTAGAACATTTGAGGAACAGTGTGAATATATTAAATGTAAGACAAGACACATTATATATACTTCTTTACCACTGAAGGTTTTACCAAATTCTTTTTGAAATAATGAAAAATAAAATTATAGTTAATACTTTCAAATATATTTGCTTAGCAGTCAGCTCTTCATGGAGAGGTCTTAAAACATCTGTTTATTCTTAGATTCATATTTTTCTCTCCTGTTTTGAATACATATGTCTTTGATTTGCCTATTCTCACCTGCATTTCATTCTGGCTGTTTATGCTGCTATATGGAATCCTGCCTGTCTGCATTCATTTACATTAAGTTTATTAAGAATTTAAAGAGGTTTTTTTTTTAAATGGATTGTTGAGTAATTTATGTAGAATCCCTTCCCCCAAAGAGCTCAACACATTATATTCACATTGTTAAATAAACATTTTTGAAAACAAACTAAATTACTTAAGAGAAGAAAAAACAGTCACAGAGACATTTAGAAATATGCAAAAGCCCCACAGTAGTGGAACTATCATTGACACAAAATATCATCAATCTATTGACTAAATAATAATGCTTACTTAAAATATTCTGCCTGTAAAATCATCTTACTCTTGAATTTTGCCTTTGGTCTATATATAGGTTCTTCATATGCTATTGATTTGTTCCTGCTGGATTGTACAGTCTAAACTAAAAACATTAGTTTACAGTGGGCAGTGTCTTCTTTTCAACATTATCAAAATTAAGTTTTTAAGGACAATTTAATATCTAGATGTCCACTAAATATTAAACTGAACAAAAATATTCATTTAACACTGATACTTTAAATATATATACATATTTTTTCAAAGATATCATTAATACAAATAAAATTAAAAACTGAAATAACTTTCATTGAGAATGTTACATTTCTCTAAGACAGTATGTTGGGATTGATTCACCTTATTGGGAATGGATTGTTTAGAAAAAATGGAGATATGTAAATGTTTTTATAGAAAGATATATTTTTCTAACAGATGACCACAATAGTTAAATAAATTAGCTTATATGTGAGGTTAAAAAATATCTAAAATTCCAAGATGCTACACATTGACAGTACACAGTCAGGAACATGTACATGACTTATACCTCTCATTTAAATATTTTGTAGTATAAAATATTTATGGTAAGTTTTAAATAGATGCTTTTTTTGGGAAAAGGGTAAGAATCTATCAGTTTATTGTATAATTTAATTCTGGTATTGTAAGTGCTTAGCAATCAATTTTGAATTTATAGTTTTGCTATTTTGAAAGAATTATAGTCTTGTAATCTAAAATAATTAAAATTTGTTAAATGTATATTTTGGTTGTATTATAATAAAACACAAACAGTAGTATTCTATGGTGATAAACAGAATGTTGGTTTGTGTGCAAATTTTGTTTTCACACCCCTGAAAACACCCCAAATTTTATCCATAAAATTGCACTAAATCAAATACCAAAGAAATATATCCTGACAATTATTAGTAGACATATTCTGCACTATAAGTTTACAAATAATTTCCCTTATGAAAATAATAAGTAAAAGAATAAGTGGCTCTCCCCAATTAATACAATTATGTAATTAAGCTTTACTGTGATTTAAATTTAGTCTTTGGCAGGCTGAGATGAACATTATTACTGCAAGTAACTACTTTTTTGTTTGTTTGTTTTAATATATTTTCATTGACTTCAGAGAGGAAGGGAGAGAGAGATAGAAACATCAATGATGAGAGAGAATCATTGATCGACTGCCTCCTGAACCACACCCTACTCAGGGTGGAGCATGAGACTCAGGCATGTGCCCTGACAGGGAATTGAACCGTGACCTCCTGGTTCACAGGTCAACTCTCAACCCCTGAGCCATACCAGCTAGGCTCTACATAATTCTTTGTATTTGAGTTATTTCAAAATAAAAATGTATATTAACGATATAAATCTCAATAAAAATAAAAAAATAAAAACACAAATTGCTTGGTAGTAAAAGAGAAAGGGAAAGAAAGGAAATGAGAGAAAAGACTATCAAATAGAAATATTAGATATTCAGCCATCATAATAGATGCAGCCTTCTAGTTCCAGTTACTCTTACATTATGGACTTTCGTGGGCACCCTGATTATTTCTAAAACAGGACAGCTAGAACCTTGTTTGGCCTCAGGGATCCTAGTTTTCAAAGCAACACCTTATAGTCATGGAAATGCCTCAAGCATTTAGGAGATGTGCTTAATAGCCAAAAGGCTCTAAACAGCTGAGTTGGCCTTTCTTGGATTGAACATTGTTTCAGGTTGCTATTTAAAATATAGATTTCTTTCTGGCTCACATATCAAATTTATAAACTAATACCTGCTCTTTAGGAAACCTGAAGTAGAAAGAGAATTATATGTATATCTAGTAAAATGCCTTTAAATGATCCCACAAATTATTATTTTCTACAAGACAGGTTCTCTATCAGTTTAATTCACTCCTCTAATTTACTATGGGTTTTTTTGTTTATGTGAGCCAAAACTTGGCCCCCAAATTTTGCTTTTTTGCAAAATCTCAGTTTTATTGGGCCCCATTAGTGAAAGGCTAGTCTATTTAAATATATTTTGAAGGAGTATAAGGGGGCACCTTCAGACAGCATTAAAGTACATAAACTTGGGTAAGAAGAAAATGAACCAATTTACCAGATGGGAAGTTATCATTTGGAATTAGGAAAAAGGTTGTTTAATGACCCATGTCCACTAAGTTTTTACTATATTGAAACAAATTACTCTTGGGTAATTATCTCTAATTATTGAATTGTGTTATAATTGTAGCCTGTTCCTACAGACCATTTTTACTGTTGAAAAACAAATAAAAAATCAGAATCTCCTGTGGTAGTTTGTGTGATAGTTAGTCTTTATGGATATTTGGAAGTAGTGTTAAGTTTCAGTGTCCACAAGCAAAGTTAAGAATGAGAATTGCCATACCTTATGCATGTGTGGAAACTATACAAAGTGGACAAGGAGGCCAGGGTCTAAATATTAGGATTCTACATTATAAATTTATGATTCAGAATAGATAGAGATTTAATCATGTCGATGAGACATTTTGGTATTTTTAAGCAGGGAAATGATAATGTGATTTTCATCAAATTTGCATATGAGAAAGAAATGTGAAGTGATAAATGACCCCTTGACTTTCATGTTTTACAACTGAGTGATGACAATTAAAAAAAAAAAGTTTAAAGGGATAAAAGGTTAGGATAGGGAGCTCATTGTTCCAGCATTGAATACTGGGAGTTTGAGATGATTTGAGGACTGTATGGTAGGCAGTCTGGCACATGGGTTTGGTGCTCAAGAGAAATGAAAGCTGGAATCATGCTCTGATCACTGGTACAGATGACAGGAGCAATGCACTAAGGAATGCAGTGAATGTTAGCAGACCTGGGTGGTCAACATGGAACCCTAATTAGTGTGTATCCTGGTGTATTTTATCATTCATTTATCTGCACCTCAATGAGATATCTCTAAAGTATGAAACAGCCTAAAAATTATGATTTTTCCTTATTTCTTCCACCAGAAGCTGTTTCTTGAGGACTAAGTCTTTATTATTAATGTCCAGTCTAAACTCTAGCAAATAAAAATGACAGTTAACCCAGTGTTGTGAGACAACAAAAGAATTTTCCTCAGAACTATTATGATTCATTATTTTTTAAAAAAATCCACCAAATAGAAGCATTTTCTAAAATTCCTACCCCATGTGCTTCTTTTTAAATCAAATTAGTAAATTGATGAAGGTCTATTTTTATTTTGAATGTTCATCTGTTTTAAACAAAGCAGTTACAAACTGGTGTTGTTGGAATATTTTGTTTGATTCAGGTGGACACAATGCCATAAACTACATGGTTTAAACTGGTAGAAAGGTTCCTATCGCTTGTAATGGGTGATTTGTTTAAACACAAGGACTTTGTAAAGGTTGTTTAAGAAAACTTTAAGGATTTAAATTCATAGCACAGTCAGGACTAGAGATTTCTCTGACAGATATGCTTTGGTTAATAATGTGGTTTTTAAAAATATGTATTTTATTGATTTTTTACAGAGAGGAAGGGAGAGGGATAGATAATTAGAAACATCAATGAGAGAGAAACATGGATCCGCTGCCTCCTGCACACCTGCTACTGGGATGTACCCTCAATCAAGGTACATGCCCTTGACCAAAATTGAACCTGGGAGCCTTCAGTCCCCAGGCCAGTGCTCTATTCAGAGCCAAACCGGTTAGGGCAATAATGTTTTAATTTAAAAAAAAAATTTCTCATAATATTCTCCTATTCAATTTAAAGTGTACATACATAAGTCTTAAAAGGAATCTTCTTGGAAATACAGTCTACCTATATCTTTAAAGTCCAGTGCTAAATAAGAACAAAACAAGTTATAACAGTCTCTTGATACATTTTTCACCCTGTTTATTGTTTCAAAAATATAGTTTAATTAAGCGTTGTTTACATCTACACATTTTATTTATTTCATTTTATTTTTTATATCTATACATTTTAACAATTAAATACCAAAGTAAAGTTAATTTCTGTCACTGAGTTAGAACACTTAACATGCATTATTTAAGATGCATTATATATTTTAAAAAGTGAAATACTTGCACATGAGAATTTTTAATTTAATTTGAACCAAGGATAATGTGTGTAATTTGATAAGCAGAAATCAGCTCTTCAAGGTTTTGCTCCAGAAAAACCAACATTCCTAACCATTAGCAAAGGTTGGAACTATTTGTTCTTTTTGCCAGAATGTAAAACCAAAAGCAAGAAGCTACAACCCTCTTTCAGACACTTAATAGTCAATAAAGCTATTCATAATGCATTTATATAGCAGCATTTTACATATCAAGTGTATAAATAATCTAATTAACACAAATATAAAAGTAATTATTTTCAAGTATGGAGAGAGTTGTTTGAGATCTATATGATAAAGATCTAAAAAGGAAATCTAAGAAGGAACTGTACACCACACATATTTAGATAACTCTTCTTTATTTTCCACTTTATCTCACCAAAGTAGTGACTAACATGGAGAAGTGGTCAGTGGCATCTCTTGACAAGATGGCAAATTGGGTAAGGTTCTAGTTCATCTCTCTCAAAATCAATATAATGGTGTGAGGGGTGATGGGTACCAAAGGATAATAAAAGTGTGTTCAAATCTTGTGTTACTGGTGGGGACATATAGATATTGATATGTGTAAGGAATCAGTAACAGTGAATTTTCAGGCATATATATCTGAAGTTAAGGGCAGCCTCTATAGAAATTTTCAAAATAATAATAACTTGGCTCAATTCTGAATTCAACATGGCAAGTGAGGATTTATAGCTAAGATACATGTTGGGACTCAGTAGATGGAAAATTACTAAGGAAACATCAGGAAGAAGAGCAGATTCTAACTAGACCAACTTGACAGAATTCTTGCTGAAATCAGGCCAGGGTAATCAGATATTATTTAGGGGATGATGGGGAATGAGGAATTTATCAGATATTAAGGGTGATCAGATATTGAGGTTGGGGATTCTGGCTAAACCAACTTGACAGGATTCTTACAGAACTGCATGATACCAGCCCAACAAGGATAGTTTTGAAGCCCATGGTCACAGCTTAGCTGAGACTAGGCCATGGAAGGGCCTGACTAACGTTTGGTCAGTGAAAGAGTCTACAGTGTGGCATCCGAAGGCCCAAGAAGGTGGCTGGTCCAAGAAGGTGAGTAGTCTATGGTGGAGGATGGAATACAGATGTGTGGTCTGGACTTTTCACATGCATATGCTTGAGGCCCCTTGAAGTTCAGGAAGCAGAGAGAGTGAGTCACTTATACTCTTTCCATAGCCATGCAAGTATAATGGGCTAGCCCAGACAAAGAGGTAAAATAAACAAGTAGGGAATTTGGGTCATCCAGTGATAATAATGTGTGATAAACTGTTGGGCTATAATCAACTCAAGCCTCTGAAGCTGAGGTTGGGAAGGAAGAAAGAATATTGGGTTTGTATAGACCAACAGGAAAGGACAGCTACTGAATTACTGGTCCACAGGAACATCTGCCCCTTCGTGGACACACAGCCCGCCATGGATATTACTGCAAGAAGAGGGCTTCCTTCTGTGAAGGTGGCCATAGTCCAGATCTGAGTGGGTACTTAGATTGCTATCTTTACATTGGAATGTTGCTTTTCATTTTAGTCGATTTTTGAGTGAAATATTCTTAGATGGGCTTCACCAAGATAGAGGCCACAATTTGAAATATAGCTTCTTGAGGAAAATGTGATTTGAGTTTCAAGCCATGGAACAAAGAAAAAATCAAAGTTACAGCCTGGTCAGCATGGCTCAGTGGTTGAGCTTCAACCTATCACCCAGGAGGTCACAGTTCC